GATAATCTGTGAAGGACAATCGTCTTTTTATGGTTATAACATAGTGCATCTCTCTTTCCACCAATATGCATAACACAAACAAGCACTCTGTGACTCTAATCTCCAAAAGGCAGTTATATAAACAGAGAAAAACCAAACATTGTTCACAGAGATACAAGCCCTTCTGGAGAAACCATGGATGAGATTCTACGCAATATTCCTCAAAATTCTCCTGTCTGATTTTATATAACCTTTTCGGAGATTTTTTTCCTGGAAATTGTGCAGTCTATTTTTTACACAGGATCTGCAGCTGGTCTGTGCTAAACATATTAAATAGTGGTTACCTAATAGTTTTGTCACCTATTGCATGAGGTACATGCTATTTAAACTATGAAACTGTTAAAAGAGGTAGAGTTGTAGTTAAATTAGTTACATTCCATCTTTCCATTAGTAGTTGAAGTGAAGTAGTGTGAGAAATTATTTCTCAACCATTTTGGTCCCTGTGACCAGCTCAGTTTCTTCTTAAAATGTGAACCGTTAGCAAATAGAACCAAAGAAATCAACAGCACAGAAGAAGGCCATTTGGCCTATTGTATCTGTGCTGCCTCTTTGAAAGAGCGAGTCCTTTCAGTGACATTTACCTGCACTTTCTCCAGACTCTGTCAGAGCCTGTAAGGACACTCAATCAAAGACTTTTTGGTGTATGGACTGGCTGTGAGGTTATTATGGTCCAGCAGCAGGACTTGGCCAGCACCACAGCCTCTCCCTTCAGGCCACTGAAACCCTTATCCATGCATTTATAACATCTAGGCTCAACTACACCAACTCCCTGCTTGTCGGTCTTGCCCCTCCACAAGCTGCAGATCATCCTGAACTCTGCAGCTTGTGTCCTCTCTCGCACCAGGCTCCATGACCCTTTCACCCCAACCCTCGCCCGGCTCCACTGGCTCCCCATCCCCCAGAGAATAGAGTTCCAAATCCCTGTGCTCGCCTTGAAAGCCCTCCACAGCCTTGCTCCTTCCTACCTCTGTGACCTGCTAACGCCACATCAACCTGTCCGCTCCCTCCGCCCAGCAAGCTCCAGCCTGTTCCACATCCACCGGCCGGTCCACTCCACCATCGGCGGACGGGCCTTCAGCGTCTCTGTCCCCATCCTTTGGAACTCCATCCCAGTCCCTTCCCTTGTTACAATTCCTCAGATGAAATTGGTCATTCACTTCATAGCTGTTTGTGGGACATTGCTGTGTAAAAATTAGCTGCATTATTTGCCTACAAATTGCAGTCACTACACTTAGATTAAATCCTGTGAAGTGCTTCCTCCCAGCGTGAAAGGCGCAATGCCAAACCAAGAATTATTTATTTTATTATGTATATTGAATGTCACTAATAATTTGTGAATTCATGTATAAAGTCACGTCATTATTTGAATGGCATTATTAAATAACTTTAAGCATGTGAACAGCCAGTCCTGATATTAGCAACATCAGTCATTAAATACCTGAATCTAGGATCCCAAAGTAGCCTGAGAAGAAACTGATGTGTCAGACTTTTTTCAGTTTGTAAAGGTAATTCCTCAATAATTCAGTTTAACCTGTTTTCCCGAATGATTGTGTATTTACTGTGCAGTATGTACTGTAGATAAATTCCTGAGGCATTTCTTGCTGTGCAATTTACACAGAAAAATCTGAGGCAATTGAAGTAACTGTACAATAAATAGAATACAGAATACCAAGTATTTTTCAGAAAACTATATAATCATATCTCATTGAGTAGCAATAATAGATGATCCCCACTGAGTATGTTTTTTAAAGTAGAAGTTCAAATTGGTCACGACTCATGGGAGGGTTTTTTATGAATTGCAGAATCTATCAGTATGATTGTATAGCCAAAGATGGAGTGTAATATCCTTTACTTTATCATGGTTGCTAGATTTCCTTTTTATATGTTAATATTTGTCACAGACATCTAGGAGTATTACTGTGTCTGAAGGTTTTATTTCTCTTCCAGTTGAGGATGGTTAATCCTTACATTTGTCTTCAGTCCGTGCATTACTTGCTTTGGCACTGATCATCATGTTTTGCTTGGGAAAAATCATAAGGAAAATGGGGGAGAACTTTCACCTGGGTCTAGGTTTACTTTATTTTCTTAGCATCTTAGAACATCCAGAACTTGCCAATTTTTAAATACAGTTTAATTTTGAAGCCAGTTTATTTGATGTTCTTTTAAGAACTACAGAAAAGTGATTTCAAAGTTAAGAATTAATTCAATAAATTACCAAGTTCTGGGCTGGAGCCCAAGGGGTGGGGGCGGAAAGATAGCCGAAAGTGTGGTCAAAGAAGAAAGGCAAGGGAAGGGGTGAGGTGAAGGGTCTCCAGGATGGAGTTCAGTAGTGGCGGCAGATAGGTGGAGAGCCCAACCACTGAAGGTGGGGTGGACTGGGTGGGGGACATGAAGCAGGCCAGAGCCTGTCAAGTGGAAGAAGCAGTCAGGTTGATAGGATTTTAGTAGGTCGCAGCAGTAGGGTGGGACAAATCTTGGAGGGATTTATAAGTGAAGACAATCTCTGGGGGATGGGAAGCCAGTGGGTGAGGATGGGTGTGATAGGCTTTTGAAACCTAGTGTGGGAGAGGACATGAACTGCAGAGTTCTGAATGGTCTGTAACTTGCAGAGGGAAGAGTTGGGAAGTCCAGCGAGCAGGGAGTTGGTGTAGCCGAACTTGGATATGATGAAAGCATGGATAGATGTCTCGGCGGCCTGAGGAGAGAGGTAGTGGTGGAGGCAGGCAATGTTGCAGAGGTGGAGGAAAACTGAACATGGCAAGGCATGGATGTGGAGTTTAAAGAACAGTTAAGAGTCGAACAAAATTCAATGGCTCCGTGAGGTGGAGTGTGTATCCAAATAGATTGATATTGTTAGTGCCTGAGGTGAAAAGGCGCTGATAGGAGCCAAGCAGGAAAGCCTCTATCTTGTTGAATTCAACTGGAAAAAGTTAGCTCTCATCCAGGTATTGATATCCAATAAGCAATTGGTCCTGGAGTCGAGGGTGGAGTCAGAGATAGTTTGGGATCATTCAAAACATGTGAAAGTTAACCCAGTGCCTCACGATCACATTTCAGAACATGAGGATGTAGATATTAAAAACAGAAGATAAGCGCTTTGAGGAATACCGTACATCACAGTGCAGGGGCAGCAGGAGAAGCTGTTGGCAGATTACAAAGTGGATAAGCTGGGATAGGTGAAACCAGATAAGGACAGAATCATGAAGGATAGAATGGGCTACATTGTCAAAGGCAGTTGAGGTCAAGAAGGATGACATTGCAGCAGTCCCTGCAGCACTGCACTGCTGTCAGCTAAGATTGTGAGTTCAACTTCCCACAAATGGAGCTTAAAACCACAAATCATGGAGGAGGTGGGGGAAGAGGTTCATACCTCCTGCCAGGCTTTAGGAATAGATGGTAAAATGTGATATTTCATAACAGATTTGATATGTTCAAAAATGTAAAAAACTGAAAATGCAATCTTCACCCTATTAACTAGTGGCAGTGACAAAGACAGCGAGAGGGTGACCTATATTGTCTCACCCCATTTAAAAATCTTTACACTCACTCTTTTTCATGGTGAGAACAAGTTCAGGTGTGCGAGCTATTTCTCATAACTTAGAAGTTGTTTGTTGCTCCTCTCTGAATGCTTTTCCTTATTATTTTCCTTATGATTCAATATCTTTTGAAGGTAGGGTGCTCAAACAAGAACATTTCAGATTCACATTCATCAGTAATGTATACAATGATCGATTTGTTCAACTTGAATTATAGCCAAATGCCCTCAAAATGCAGCCTGGTATTTGATTAGTAGCTTTGCTGACAGCAGCTTCACGGTATCTGGAAACCTTCAGTCAGTGACCAATATTTGCACTCAAGTGAGGTTTCTTCTTCACCTTTCCTGATGGACAGCTCTTTATTTTGTGCACGCTGAGGTTTTCTGGTCTAATACCTTACATGTATTTATATTGCTAGGCTGACACCACAGTACAATGTGGGGGTGGAGCCTGCATTGTCAGAGGACCTGTCCTTCAGATGAGATGAAAGGCGCTTTACAAATTTAATTTTGTAATGTATGTTAACCCGAGGCCCAGCCTGCCTGCTCGCTGCAGTAGGGAAACGTGAAGTTGCAGCATCATATTTTTGCCACAAGACAGGAGGCTGCTGTAACAATGTCAGAACTCACTTGGGAGCCTCTGGTGTCTGCCATCAGATATTACAACAGTACCTCCTTCAGCAGCAAGAAGTTGCATTTATATAGCACATTTCATGTCAGGAGGACATCCCAAGGCACTGGATTTGTCTTAGGATGTCTAGGGTTTGCACCCAAGATGGGGGTTGGAATCAAGAAAGGTGGAGGGCAAGGGTGGGAGGATGACTGAAGGCACGGTCAAAGAAGGTCCTGAGACGGGAAACATTTGTGGAGGTTGGGCATGCATACGCAGAACCATCACATCTCTGGTCTATTGGAGAGTGACACTATGGTCACACACCCTACCCGTCACCTCATAAGGTGGGAGGTTTTTCTGCTCAGCCCTCTAAAAGACCAGAGGCTTCTGCAATGTAAGATGCTATATTATAGGGCAAATTATCCAAAGTAAGTACTTACAAGAATTTCTAGAATGCAACTAGTCTTGCGTTAAGTGCAGTGACAAGTAAAACGGAGTCCTTTATTAACATTTTGCTTGGGAAATGGCTGGGATATTGACAGCATGGCTACTTAAGTGGTAGTGACAAGTTGCATATTTATTAAAGTCAAAAGATCCTATTTCTGTAACCATTCTGTTCAAGTTTGACAGATATTAAAGGGGTAATTTTTATTGCTTAAAATTGTACCAGAATCTCAGCCTCTTTAAAATTAATTCAATCAATGTAAGATTTCCAGAAACAGTTGTAAACAACTACGTTACATTCAAAATTCTTTGTTGTGTGTTGCTTTCTACTTTCCCCACCTCCAAATTTAAAAAAAAACAGAGAAGAGATTTACAATCAAACACAATAGAAAGTTTTATTCAAACAATAATTTAGAAGGATGCAGAAACAGTTTAAAATTTTCTCCCCCAAAAATTGAAATTAATTCCTCAGAATGTTCATATCCCTTACAGCATTTACTCAAAATACTGAACAAAATTGGCAAGTATTATTCAAACCAGCAGCAAACCTAACCAGTACATAAATGTACGGTGTATCAGCGAACACATCATGCGATTCAGTGAAAACGCACACACTTAACGTAAACCTACAAAACTGCTCTTCATGCCGAAAGCTACTTCAGGTAAAGCAAGAGACACAAAAAAACAGGAATGCATCAAAACAGTCATGATTTAATAGAAACAGTGAGTAAAATTGTACAATCAAAATCTTCCTGTACTTGTTAACTGCATGAATTTTTTTCTTAAAATGCATTTAAAAGTTTTGGTACAGTCATGATTTTTTTTTCTTTTCTTTCAAAAATGTCAATTTAGTGCTGAACACTTCTTCCCTACAAATAATACTGTCCTCGACTAACAGTTTTCTTAGTGCCAAACCAATAACCTATAAGTTTACTCAAGTCTTTGTGTGCTGCACCAACTGCAGGGGGTCGACAAAATTATGATCTTGTAACCAAAAGAAAACCGTTGGCACCAAACACATTGGCCTCCACAGTTTGACGTATTAATTGCCACTGCACAATATTTAGCCGTTTCCTTGTTTTCCTTTTCACAAGGTTTGTGTGTGATTGTTTATCCGTGGCAACCGCAACAAAGTACTGCATTGCCTTATGCAATACCTTCAAGTCTATTTTACCTGACCTATGTCAGTGTTTCTCTATATCAACTTTTAGAAGTCAAATCCTACGCCAGGCTTCATTCCAGCATGACTCGCTGATGGCTGTAATGTAGCTCCTTTCCATGTAGTGCTTCTGTTCCAAGTGCAAATCATCGTAATCTTCTATTCCTGTTGACAAGACATGGCTGTCTGGCCTCTTCCACACTGCTCTAAATGCTCGCTGCTAATGTGCCAATTAGCAAGGAAGTGCTAAAAAGTTGAGCTACTTCATGAAATAACCATTTCATCGCAGAATCCAGTCTTCACTGCGCATGTTCAGTCATAAAGGCTTGTCAATCACTGTAACACCTAGAGGGGAGACAGAAATGGTCTCAGTTATCAGGAGTCTTGGGCAGAGCCAACGTGGGAGGCAGTTTCTCAAAGAATGGCGGAATGAACTGCAAGTAGAATTTTCACATCGACAAAATGGGGGAGGGAGTGGGGGGGGGGGCAGAAACAAGCAGTTGCAGAGACAAAACATTCACAGAGTTGTGGAAGCAGAATATCAGAAACCCCATTCACAAATGTATACAGAGACAAGACATCAATACACTGGGGCCCCATTCATAGAACTGTAGAGTCCCATTCACACAGGAGACAGGACACTGGAGTCCTATTCATACAGCCTGAGTCACAGTGCCAGCTTTCACTGACATTATAATTCAGCCGATGAGCCTTTAGGTTCTTCAGCCTGACAGAGCACCTTGCAAAGGCACAGCACTCCATCCTCGGGGGAGGAAATAAGGGGCATTTGTTGTAAACTGATGCAACATATCAACCAAGCACAGGACAGCCATGGTCAGGACATCCTGCACTCCAGCTCATGGACAACTGTGCGGTGCAAAGGAACCTGCATTTGGAATTGTGAGGGTTGTCCAGCTCCAGCAAGAACAGCATAAAGTTACATTCAGACTTGCAGAGTCCCATCAGGAAATTCTCATCCACCAAACCACAACTTAAAACACAAAACACTGATTTATTCTACCCAGACAATGATATTGGCACCAATATCTTTTTTTAGATCAAAAAGATGCAATGGGCTGTTAGGGCTGTAGAGGGCACTCTTCCACACAAATACAGAAAATGTTTCAAATCGAGTCTTCTAAAGGTGTGGCTTATCAGCTAATTCCAAGGAATTCGCTACTGCTAAAAAAGTAAAATCTATTGTGAAAATGGTTATATTCAGTTTGAAAGGAAAAAAATCAGCGAATTACCTGCATAACTTCTTCCTGTGCTCATACACTGTGGTAGAAGTAGCCATTTATCTAACACTGGGTTGTAATATTCCACGGATGCAAGGTTACAGGAACCATCATCTCCCCCGACGACGTACAATAGACCATTCACTGTGCACACTGCTTCAGGGGGGGAAAAAAAACAAGTCAACCCACGCGTGGACAGCGTGTGTAAATCTACTAATAGATTCTTGGCTCACGCATCCTACCTGCATTCCTCCTGCACATGTTCATGTCTGCAACCTGCTTCCAGGAGTTTAAAGAAGCATCGTACATTTCCACACTTTTCCTCACCAGTGGGCCATCGTGACCTCCAACAGCATAGAGCAAACCGTTCAACACTCCCACCCCTGCAGCAAAACAAGCAATTTCCACTGATCAACCTTCAATTGCAGAAAGATTGACAAGCTGTACATCGATTTTCAAACCGTCAAGAACTCAACCGAATGAACACTGCACCATTACTGCTTAAAACTCATCGAATAAAATAGAAATCGAGTGGACAGCGAATTTGAAACACTCCAAAATAAAATCACACAAACACACATTTGAAAATGTAAAAGATTAATCTTTGAGGATGGAGACTTCATAAAAGAGAGTCATTTTAAAGAGAATACAGTGATAGCTTATTGATTTTCAATTGATTTATTTCAATTCATAATGACCACTTTAAAATTATTTGTATTTTTTTTTAAATGGAGGACCAAGTAATGGGTTTTGCTATAAATTTGTGTCCACTTTGCATATGCATTTGGCTATCGACTTAACTAAAGAACAAAAAAGAGTCACTACACATCGCCGTATATCCTGTAAATGTTTTGAGATATCCCTTGACATGAAAGGCACTATATCAAATGCCAGATTATTAATGGAACACACCATAAAAATGCCACAAATTAGCAGGATTCAAGGCAACATTGAGCAGGATTACTGAAGAGCATTCACGAGGCATTACATTTTGAAACTAATCAATGTTTGGAAATCACGCCTTTGCGTTTGCTCCCAGGGAGTAAACCTTCTCAGTAAAACATTTCTGTAAACACTATTTCCTTCCTGACACCGTTACACATTCTCTCGTGTATCAATAACGTGTGCTGGAAATTAGTGGCGATGAAGTAATTACTCCAGGGTATTTAAAATACTGCCCAGCAATGGAACAGTAAAATCAAATAAAAAATCTTAACTGGTAGAGAACATCTTTTTTTGTTGCTTTGTGCATATCTGACAGTCAGATGTCTCCTTGAGCCAGGGAGATAGATACTCCGTTGGCATCAGGTCTATGCATGCCAGGATACAGCACTACAGGGAATCCCGGAGACTGGCTTTGGAGGCTGGCCCAGCTGGCAACTGGTAGATGCCCATCCCAAGATGACTAGCAGCTGGGAATGCTTCCTGACTACTGTCCAACAAACAGGATTCCCTGCAGAACGTTCCCCAAAGTACCCACCAGTGCAGTGCTGCTCCCTGGTGCAAAGTGAAGCCCCCAAATAGAAGATCTCCACAGGCTGAACCTACAAGAACCAAAAGGATATCCTGTGCCAAGCAAGAATAGCTTGCATTTATATGGTGCCTGATCAACATAAACTATCCAAAGGTGCCGTCAAGGTAATTGCTAGTGTAGTGACTCTATTAGGAACCTATTTATACAACTTGTTTTAAAACCACTACATATGTGGCAAAGTATGTTCTATAAGTATTCTATTTATAGAAATAACACACAAAACAGCAGCTTGAACACACTGCATTGAAAATAAAATTTGGTTCAAGAGAAATACTGCAGTGTAAATACAGATTTAAAGTATTGACGTGAAAAAATGAAAGCCACAAATTATTTTTCTTCAACTGACATGCAAAGGGATACCTTAACAGAAGTAAAAGCTTTTTCAAAGATAAATAAAAAACAAGGTTAGTATTTTCAAGCAATTCAGAAAGTGGGAAAAATGGGCAATTTGTGTTTTTTCACTCATTTGCTGTAGCGATGAATACATTTATGATGATTCTCAAAAGCTGGGAATGCTCTGTATCTTATTATCTCCCCAAACCTGCTCCACTCCTTCGGGTGCTCATCTCAGCGATGTAGGTCCATTCATTTTTGTTTGTGTTATAAGCCTCTACAGAGCTAAGACACTGCCGCGATGCTCCATCATAGCCACCAACTGCGTACAACACGCCTAGAAAAAAAAACACACCAAAGGACCGTCTTAAGCATCTTTACCTTGCATCTTCTAGACAGGATTTAAATACTGTACAGTTTGGACAGCAAAGTCTGGGGTAGATTTTCTGATGAGGTAAGGGTTATCCCCACACACAAGATTCTACTCATAACAACGACAGACATTTTAAACAATCATTAACTCATTATTTATTGAAAACCAAAAGAATCTCTTTTCCTTTCAGTGAGGTTCTACATCTGAATTAAGGCAAGCTGCCTCCAACAAGGTGTTGTGACTAAATCCCCCCTCAGCTCTCCTCTGACTCGGTGAGTTCTGAGCTATTGAGCTCTACTGTCCGTGATCCAGTACCTGGGCTTTCCTGAGTTGCCTGATCTCATTTGAGGGAAGAGGGCAGAATGAATGCAATGTAAGCACAGATTTAAAGACGTGTATTGATATATATATATATAAAAAAACTCAGTGCCCTTCAGTAGGGAGGTGAAAAACAGCCACAGTTCTGTCTTGATTGCTATTCAGTGAGCCCTGCTGTAAGGTGGATGTATGGCTTTCAACTGAGAATAGGATATGGCTCAGCTGTTATATCACACCTGCCCTCTAGTCAAGTTAGCTTTTCAACTGTTATCTGTGGTGCTGCACCTCAGCAGAAAATAAATCAAATATCTTCAAGAATGATGGAGAGAAATCAAGGTACTGCTTATGCTGATTTATTTCTTTATTTCTAAACTGAACTACGAGCACAACGGTGTTTCCCACACCCAGTCAGGAGGGGCAAAGGGGAGGAAAAGGGAAACATCGTAAGCCAAATTTTATGTAGTTCAGGCTTCTGAGAAAGTAAATGGGGTTGGAAGGAGTTGCAGGTTGGAGTGACGTACTGCCAGATTCCTTAATAAAGGAGTAATTAGAAACTTAGCATGTTTTTGTTTTTCTCCCCCTCACCTCTCCCCATTCAGAATAAAAACAAAAACAGATTCCTTAATGAAGGAATCTTATTTGAAATCTCCGCATCGTATTTCCCAGAAACATTAGGCTCTAAAATGTGGTGATGGAGCTCAAAATGCTTTATATAAATGTACATTTCCCTCCCCACTTTTAAGTGAAGCAAAGCACTTTGTGTGGAGGGCTGGACTTATTGTATTATTTCTTTCCCCTTTTCAGCATGCACCCAGTTGTTTTACTGTAAGATAATTGCTCTTTGCAACCCATTTCAGCAGTGACAGGAAATGGAACACAAGGGAATGCATTAGCAGTACAGAACATAGCGTGACTCTGATATTCCAGTTCAGTAACCATGTAACACTCCCATTGCACTGAAATTATTCCCACTTAGCCTTAGGGTGAACAATTAAATTACAATGAGAAACTTTGTGTGTTTTATTTTTCTCCCCAATCACCCCATTTAAAACAAAAACATTCAACAGTACAACACACCTGGATGACTAGACTATTGTAATGTACAAATTGTTATTAAATCAGCCCAATTTGCTACTGTTATAACTCCTGTTATAGTTATTTTTCTTCACTACCCTAAACCGACCAATTTCACCCACAAAATACAGTCAATCACTTTACAATATATTCTATGAAGGGCTTTGATACATCTCAACGACGTGATACGGCGCTATATCAAATGCAAGGATTATTATTATTTATTATTAGACTCTATAGGACTGGATTTCCATATTTACTTCAATATATAGTTTGCTGAGCTGTACTTACCTCCCACCACACCCACACCAACACTACTCCTCCTCGTGTTCATTGGGGCCACGTGAAACCATTCATTTGTTTTGACATTGTACACCTCTACAGACGATAAACCTGAAAGATACATAAATCAATCTACAATGTGCTCACTTCTCACCGGGCAAAGTACTCCAGGATCTGGCCTGATCACAGCACTGTACAAGTTTTATTTAAATAGATTCACATTAATTAATTAAAAAACCCAAGTGGGGATTCTTTCCTTCCGGTAACTGGAAGAACAACGCTTCGACTCACGGGAAAGTAAATGGGGTCAGAAGGAGTTACAAGTTGGAATGACGTTCTTCCAGTTTCTTTATTCAAGGAATTTTATTTGAAATCTCCGTATTTCAGATATACATTGATGCATTTGACTCTCAAATCTGGTGATGTCAAAGGTCAAAAATGTTCTGTACAATTCATTTATTCCTCCCCACCTGTAAAACCAGCCTTAAGACCTACCTTTGTGACTGCACTTTCATCACATCTCCCACTCCCCCATGTAAACGTAAAATTATTGTTGTATTACTACACAGTACAAATATTTCTGTTAATTCTCAAGCAGGGCCAGGAATGTTGCTGGATAAATAAAATGAAAGTGTAAAGCCAGATCTTTTCTATTTTAAAAAAATCCAACTTTTTTTTGAATTGGATTCATAAACATTAAATTGCATACATTAAAAAAGCTACCCAACCCAGTTCATTATACACCAGGGAGGCAACTGGGGTTCACAACAAAAACATACCTGTACTTCCGTCAAATCCCCCCACAGCGTAAAGCAATCCATTCAGTACTGCAGCTCCCAGTGTGCTCCGCCTGTCCTGCATGTTAGCAATGGTCACCCACTGGTCTTTGATCGGATCATACGAATCAGCTGTTCTCACTCTCAAAGAACCATTAAAACCTCCAACACCATAAACCAATCCACCCATGCACACCACACCTGCAGAGGATATTAGCAGGTTAAAATGCAATTAAAAATCCACAACTGTAAACTTACTGCAAAATAGGCACTATTATCAGGATTTAACAGCCATCAGGTTGGCTCACTTGATAGCATTCTCATCTCTGGGACAGAATGTAGTGGCCCCTGCAGGGACTGAAGCTTATTGTGTCATTCAAGTTTAGTGTTGTTTTATTAAAGATGTCATTACTTCAGATGAGGCATTAAAACAAGTTGCCATCTGCCTGTTCAGGTGGACTTTAAAGATCCCCATAATATCTGAAAAGAGAAGGAAGTTTCTCCTCGTTGTCCCAACCAACAATCCTGCAGGTAACTGGTCAATCAGCACTCAGGTGTCTGTGAGACATTGCTATGCCCCGAAAGGTGCAGTGTTTGGCTATCAAAAGGCACTACACTTGACTGATTTTAGTGAAGCGCTTTAAGAAGTTTCAACACAATAAGCACTACATCAAATGCAAGGATTATTGTTATTATATGGAGATTGTTCCTTGCTGAATACACCAGTACCTAATTTTCCCAAGGAGCACTTTTGCAATCCAATTGACTTCAATGTTTTGTAGCAGGGCTTTCATAAGCAAAACTCCAAGATATCAGCCAGGGTCTGGAGAATATGAGAAGGGGCATATACAGTGTTCTCCGAAGGCTACAACAATAGCTAGCAGATTTTTGAGGTTCTTTGATAGCTGTTCATGCGGGACAGCATCTTGGAGCGCTTAACCGAGACGGAGCCTGACACCAAGCCAGGGGAGGGAAGAAGTAACTGTAAGCACAGTCGAAGAGGAAGTTATTCAAGGGTAATTATTATTCTGAGCCGATCTACCTGCTCGGCACCTCCTGGAGGGAAGTTCAGCCACTTGGTACCAGCGTTCCTCTGAGAAATCAAAGCACTCCACGCTACGGATGGCTTTTGGTGCCTGGCCGCCCACCACAACCATGACCTGAAAGGTGAAGTGTTGGGTGGTCATGTTCTGCATTTAGAGGCAAAACTACTAGTCTCATTACATTACTTTTGTTTTGGGGGGTTTTTCGTAAAAAAAAATATTCCAGCAACACCCACATCGTGAAAATGTGTTCTTCCCTCAGCTAAGCTCATGCAGTTATTCAAGAATATAAGGGAGAGAGAATGGGGGGGAAGAAACAAAAAAAATTGTCTCTTTATCAATTGTTAGGATGAGGAAACACACAATATATTACACTATTTTGATATGCAGTCTGGAATGGTTATTAAGGAAACTTGCCTTAATATCCTGCCCTGATTTTGTCACAAAAATTTATATGGTTTTCTGTAATAGAAGATGCAAGCAGTTATACCATCAATTTAGCCAATCTGGCAATCTACAGTATATGATTTGATTCACTCCTAGATAGTTCCTAAGTTGAAAAGTCAAAAGAGGATAATATTTGGCTGATAACGCTTACAGCTGAAGAAAAATAAAAGGCGGTCGGATATGTGGACACATGAACGCAACAGAACAATTGGTGCTGCAATAATAGGGGCACGTTTTATAAAGTATGAATATTGATAAAGGGTCTTCTCCTACCTTTGGAATGCTGATGGGAGTTCTTTGTCTTGTTCGTGTTGTTTTCATCGATGCCCGTTGATCAGCAGGAAGCAAATGATACTTCATAGCTTCAATGAGGTAATCTTTGCATGCATTACTATTTTTTACCAGTGTCTCTTCTTCTACCCTCTGTCAAACAAAGTCAACAGCAGTAAATGCCATAAGTAAATGCTGAACAAAGTATAGTACTGTACATTCCTCACACTGCACTTGCGCTTTACCTCTCTTCTCCGTTACCCGAACCCCCTTTTACGGCCTTAATTTTTTTTCTACTCTGGAAGCATTTATATTCACGCCAACCTCTCCCCTCACAGCCCGTGTTTTAACATCAGTAATTGTGTGTTACCTGCACCAGGTATTCCCGTGTGAGAAGAGGCAGACGCACGTGCTCCATCAATCGTGCCATGTGCTCCTGCCGGGCTTCCTTGTCATGTCTCACCCAGCCAATGACGGCTTCAAAAACCTGATTAAAACAATCCAACAGTCAGTTGCTATAGTCATTAACTTTACACTACAGTCAGTTATCTATCTGCATATTACAGTCAGCTGTTAATCACCTTCACAATAACAGCCACCTTCACAATAACAGTCACCTTCACAGTAACAGTCACCTTCACAATACAGTTAAGTGCTTGCCACTTTCAGGTAATGTTTAGGCTCTGCAACCATCTGCAAAGCAATTTCTTATAGACACACAATGAACAATGTGTACTTGCGGGGGGGGGGGGGCGCAATCATTCAATAGTCTGTGGCAAGCATCTGAATGCTCAAAATACACATGTAGTATTCATCAAGCATTTTGAAACTCCATTGGATAGTTGGGACACAACTGGTTTAATATCCCAGGCCCTGAGATTTCCAAAGGAAACCCAGTCAATGATGTTATCTGAGCAGGGAGGGAGGCAACACCCAAATATCTACTTTCAGGTTCAGTTTTGAAAAAAAATCATCTGGCAAATGAACAAGAAATAACAACAATAATAATAAATGCACTTGCTATAGCGCTTTCTCACATCCATCTTTAGGTCTTATTTTCCTATCAATCCAATATATTTTAGTTTAATACCAATATCTTTCTTATGTCAAAACCTGAATTATTTGAAAGTGTCAGCCTGGCTCAAGCGTTAGCACTCTCCCCTCTGAGTCAGATGGTCGTTGGTTCAAGGCCCATGTCAGGACTTGGAACTCATATAGTCCAGCCTGTCAGTCCAATGCAGTGCTGGGGATACGCTGCATTATCAGAGGTGGTATCCTTTAACTGAGACGTTAAACTGAGGTCCCATCTGGCTGGCCTTGTGACACTATTCAAAAAGAGCTGAATTTCTTCCACTGTCCTGGCCAATAATCCCCCAATAAAAACAGTTGCTCACTCCATGGCTTTTTTGTAAAACATTGTTATGTGCACAAAAACACACAATCCCACCACTTTACAGTATATTCTGTGAAGCGCTTTTGGATGCCTTGACAACATGAAAAGGTGCTATACCAATGCAAAGATTAGTATTATTCCATTTGCATTACTGGAAAAGAGATGGAAGTTTCATCCAGTATCCTAGCCAACAATACCCCAGAAAAAAATGAGTCATTCACTTTGTGGGAACATTTCTGTTGGCAAATTAGCTGCCACGTTCACCTACAAATACACTCTTCATAGAAAACTGTGCTGTGTTTTGAGATGTTTCAACGTGATAAGGAGCTATACCAAATGCAAGAATTATTATTTAATCTGGAAGGACAACCTTTCCAACTGTATTTTTCCCACAGTTCAAATTGACAGTGTAACAATTTCTCTATCAAGACTAAAATGTATATAAGAGGTTTCCAGCACTGCCAAGGCACAACACTAAATATTTGATAATAATAATCCTTGCATATGATATAGCACCTTATCACGTTGTAGAGATGTCTCAAAGCGCTTCACAGAATGTATTGTAAAGTGAATTAACTGTGTATTTTGTGGTGAATAATATAATTATATAATTTATAGTTTAAGTCACATATCCAGGTAGAAAGGCCTTAATGTGTACTGCAGCTTTACTGTATTTGTGATGTGGATTCCACTGGAGAATTGGTTACTAAATAGGTAATTCATATGAAGCTATTCTGCTCTGACCATCAACTGAACAAAGGTTCTCTCACAGCTGTCACCTGTTCAACACCTCGCAATGATGGTGTCTTGCAATTACAATAGACTGAGAAAGCCAGTGAGACAGATCGTGGTGTAATACAGATCTTCAGTTGTCAGTTTTGCAAAGGAGATGGAAAATCTGGTTCTCTCCCCTGAAACCCTCCAATAATAAAATTAATGAGGGTATTTATAAAAGAGGTAATGCTGTATTGTTCAAGCATTAAAGCGAAGCGTATTCAACGTTATACCTTACGCAGTTGAATAGATCAACACACTGCACTGTATTCATATTCTGACGGCCACTGCGCTGCTATAGCAACGAGCAGCCTACAACAAATGACTAATTAGCAACTCTGCAGCACAACCACCCCGCTCAACACTTCAGCAAGTCACGGATGCAGAAGAGAGGCAATTTACTTCAGAACAGACCCTATGTCATCTTGTCACATATTTAATGGCTGATAATTAACCCCTTCCGCGCCAAGCCACCAGCTCTGTCAATCCTACAGCAGCAGGTCCTCCATAAAAGAACAGGTGTTAAGTAAGGGGAACGTCATGAATATTCAACAAGATGAAATGAATAAAAAAAAACCTCTCTGTATTTTCCACTTCTTGCCTGGCCCCATCTCCCCAGCACACAATCAGCTCATCTGCTGGTGCTGCCACATGCAGATTCTTGCAGCTCAATCTACCTTTTTTCCCCCATAATTTGGATGAATCTCCATCTTTTCTCTAAACTAGCAAACCGCCCTTCTCCACACCACAAGTGCACTTTAAACACTTCCTCAGTCTTTACTCAGTAATGTCCAGGTTACAACAAAAGCTCAGTGGTTAGAGCACTCGCTTTGCAAGCGAGAGACCTGAGTTCAATTCCAGGCAGAGGGCGAAACCTTGGGCAAGTTTCCTTACTCCACACAGAGCCTAATAATAATCCCTCCAAAACCAAAACAATAATAAATTGGTCATTTTCAATCTACGACTGTTTGTGGGACATTGCTGTGCGCAATTGGCTGCCGCGTTCGCCCACAAATATACAGTCAATTCACTTTACAGTATATTCTGTGAAGCGCTTTGGGACGTCCTCCCGAAGTGAAAAGCGCTATATCAAATGCAAGGATTATTATTATTATAAAAGTAACTTGCATTTATATAGCACCTTTCACATGGGGAAACAGCTCATAAGTGCTTTACAAAGATGGAGTAAGAGCCTGAACAGGATGGGCGTTGGGGGAGGGGGTAGCTATATTTTTGGAAGGGTTTTGAAAGCAGAGTGGGAGGGTGGGAGGCAGAGGGATAGAGGCAGTTCCAGAGTTCAAGGACAAAGTGGCTAAAAGCATGTCCACAGACACTGATTCAAAACTGGCTCCCAAGAGCTTCTCCTCCTGACTCCACATTGTCACTATCCTTGCTCCTCTTCTTTTCTTCATCTAAATGCTCGCCTTGGTGACAAACCATACTCAAGGGGTCCACTGTCACATGTATACAGCTGACAGCCAGCTCTACATCTCTTGTCCAGCACCGACTCCAGGAATAGTGCTGTTCTGACAATACCTGACAAGAATGATAATATTACTACTATTTACAAAACTAGATTTGCTCTTGTAGAAGACAACATGGACATAACCAAAGCCAATAGTGTGAGAAAAATAACTGAAGATGATGCCTAGAGAGGCCAGTCTTAATAGGAAATACTAAATAAAGGTCAGATAAGTTCCTGACAAAAAGTATCCTAAAGGAATCCTCAGATTTTCTTAAACCATTAAAATGTATTATATCCATCATGTTGAGTGTAACAAAAGAATTAAAATGAGTGCATAGTCTAGGTGCAATAATAGCGGAGCGCTGTATTATCTGAAATGGCATCTTTGGGATAACATGTTAAACTGCCTATTCAAATGGACATTAAATATCCCATTTAATCATATGAAAAGAGAAGGCATTTCTCAAAATGCTCTAACCAACAATTCCCCAGATCAAATGAGCAAACCCGAATTAATGGATGTCTTACTAGATATCAAGTTAAGAGCTTCTCCACCCCATAACTTAATTTCAACTTTCAACCAATCTTGCAAAATTAAACTTTTACACTTTTTTACCTTTTCTTCGGAGGAGATTGTGAGCATGTCACTGGCTATCAAGCTGCACACTTGATCTATGCCAAGGTTGAGGAACTCCTCGCCAAACACTACCTCGGAGAAATGCTGTTCTGTTCAAAGAAACAAAGCAAAGAGGGAAAAAAGAAAATTAATGCCATTTCACAGAGTACACTAACGGTCACAATAAAACCACAATTGCCTGAATCTCTGTGGACAGCAACCATGGACAGTTAGGTTTAATTGTCCACGAACCAAGTATATCTGCATCTATTACAGTCCTAGCATGCAAATTAGATACAAACAGGGGAAGAAGGTGGCACCTTTTCACTTGAGATTCCTCAAGTGATTATCTTTAATTCAAATATCAATGTATTATCTTTAGGTACAGATCAAATAAGATACTGAAGATTTTTCAAAGCCACATTCAAACAATAATAACAATAATAATCCTTGCATTTGATACAGTGCCTTATCACGTCATTGAGACTTTTCAAAGTCCTTCACAGAATATACTGTAAAGTGAATTCACTGTTTATTTTCTGGGCAAAAGGCGGCAGCCAATTGCGCACAGCAGTGTCCCACAAACCGTCGTGGATTGAATGACCACTTTTTTTTATATATTTATATTTTTTGAAGGGATTATTACCTCTAGAAAAGCGATTCACCAATCAACCAACAACCTGGTTCCTACTAACTTCTAGGTAAACAGAGGTGTGTGGAGTAAGGAAACCTTCCTAACATTTCGCCCTGCCCGGGTATCAATCCCATGTCCTCTCGCTTGCAAGGGAAGTACTTTAACCAATGCGCTATAGAGTGCTACAGGACAAAACATAAACCCACCCAGTTTTTTCTGCTCTTCTCCAACAGGAAGACAATGAAGAAATTTAACCCACTGAATGCGTTTGGACAATTTATCAGATCATGGTCCTGTCTGCCTGTTCAGGTGGACGTTATAGATTCCATGGTGCTTTCAGAAAAGCGAAGGGAGTTTCTCCTGGTGTCCTGACCAAGAATCCCCCAAATAAAATTGGTTATTAAATTGGTCATTAGGCTGTTTGTTGGACACTGTTGTGTGGAAATTGGCTGCTCTGTTCACCTACGAAATACATAGTAACTACACTTCACAGTATATCTTATGAAGTGCTTTGAGATATCTCAATACCGTGTTAAGGTGCTATACTAAATACAAAGGTTATTACTAGATCATTATACGCAGTTCATTACCAGGATTTTAAAACAAAGCCTTGCAGTTGCACTGAATTCTGATAAGTCAATCAAGCCACATTATAATATAAACCATGTATTTTTACATAAGTGTGTAAAACTGTCTGTCACATATCCAAGCCCTGAATTAGTTGTAACTTTTTCCAAGTCAACATTGACAAAGTTAAGGTTATTCTGCTCAGCTCGCATCAACGCCTGCCCACCTTAGGCTCTCATTGTACTGACCTCCTTCGTCTAGCTCCTGTGAGGAACCTCTAGGTTTTGTTCAACCCTCAATTCTCCTTCAAATCTTCCATCTGGGCTCTGATCAAGTCTGCTTTCCTCCATCTCCACAACATTGCCTGCCACCTCCACTACCTCAGTCCAACATAGCTCCAGCCTAGGTTTTTCCAACACCTCTGCTTGTCTGCACCCCCACGTTCCACTATCCACAAACTGCAGACCACAGAGAAATATATCCTCTCCTGCCCTATCATTTTCACTGCATTGCAACTTTCAGGAGGGAAGTAAACAGGCATATGAAAAAGAAGGGCTTGAAGGGGTAGGGATAAGGTGGGTTGGGAGTATTAAATTGATTTACTTCCTCTGTGAGCTGGTGTAGACTCGATGAGCCGAATGGCCTCCTTATGCACTGTAGAGTTTTATGCTTCTATCCTCGCCCAGCCCCAATGTCTCCCTATCTTCCCAGCTGATCAACTTTAAAATCTTTGTTTTCTTCTTCAAATACCTCCACTGTCTCTGTGTCCCTTCCCTCTCTGCTTTCAAATCCTTAAGAACTACCTCTTAGTATTTTCAGCCATCTCACTCCAACAACTCCCCAACTCACACACACACACACACACACAGAGCTCCCTCCCAACTCAGGTTCCCACTCAGCCTTAGTGCTTTGTGACATTCTCCCAACATAAAAGGCGGTACACAAGTGTAAATTGTTAATATAGACTATATTGTGTATATATAGTGATGCTACAAGTTTCAGGAAAAAAAACAGAATGCCATTTCATCTGGCCACCAGACATTAAGTTACTTATTGGTAGGAGTCTGCCCAATAATGCCACGTGTGCCAGTGAGTACACTTTGGGTGGTTTCTGGGACTGAAGGTGCCTGGAAGGTGCACTTGTGAGACATTGAGCGAGAACAGAATAAGGCTCGGGTTAGGCTGAGACTATGGTTAGTTTATGGCTGAATGGTATGCTGACCCCTCAGGACTAATACATGAATAATGACCACTGGAGGGTGACCGGCACCCGTGAAATCATAACCTACGGGAAAGAAAAGGAGTCAAACGCTTTTGGGAGCAGGCATGAAGGGAGAAAGGTCACTAAAATATAATCAGAACCACAAAATTAACAGAAGAGATGTTTGACTAAAGGAAAATTAAGCCAATTCATGGAAGCTTTCAAGTAATTTAGTTAAAATGCACAAGAATTAAAATTACTTAGCTTTTAGCTGTACTTCATTAAACCTACATAGCAACAAGTTAAGCATACACAGCAACACATCGTCTGTCACTGTTCAAAACCAGCGATGCTGTACACAATATTTCTAAATAGTCTGGCAACAACCATCATTCTTTCATACGTAAAATACATCCTCAGAAGTTTTTTTTAAAAAAACAGAGGAGACTGACTGACCAGACTAAATTCAAACAAATCTTCCACAATACTCTCAGCTAAAAAAGTATCAGAGGAAATGGATTCAAATGGTCAGTGATGGGAGTTTAATCCTGAAACTCCGTGATGCTGATAAAGTAAACTGTAATTGATGACAAATGCTTTTTTCCCACTGTACTCAAATAGACTGTTGAACTGTTGAAGCACTGAGACACATTTACCCGTTTTGATGTTGCAATAAGTTTTCTGCCCAAGTAAGGAATTTGAATAGTAGGTATCTGTATGTCAATCTTACTATGTGTACTGATGAACCACTAGACAAGGGAGAAACAAAGGACAAGAGAAAGGAAAAGCTACAGATTACGTGAAGGACGTAGCATACAATTAAACCATTAACAATCACAAACAGGTCCCGAAACAAAAGGAGCTCCTGCAACAGCACTTGCCTGCATACGTGTTGGCTTGATTCAAGAGTTCTGTGCAGGCATGCATATCAGCAAAGGATCGAATCCCTAAACAATTGGTAGGATGAAGCTGGGATTCCAGGAAATCACAACATGTCTTTCTCACATCCTGCAACTGCAAGAGTCCTGCTGCTGGAAGTAAGACCTGTCAAAAAATAGGAACATATATTACAATCAATGGTCGGTGATGAATCATGTATAAACAAAGTTCTTACATGCCGACAGGAAGACACAGCTACCACCAATATACTTTAATATACATTGCTGTTCACAACTTGGTTGCCGTGCTCATCTACCAACTACACAATCACCACACTTTACAATAAATCATGTGAAGCTCAGAGGCGTTTGGACAACGTGATAAGGCACTACATAAAATGAAAGGATTTTTCTATTCATTTATTCACAAGCAAATAAATTTGCTCTTTAAGAATATTTAGGAAAAAGTACTTTGACTTTCAAGTCCATTGTCGTTTTCCAGTAGCTCAGCAGCTCCGGTAGCATTAGTCTTTGAAATATAACTGAGCACCCTGCATCTTTCAGTTAAAAATGTTCATTTGCATTGATATCATATTCCTTTTCATATCATGAAATAATTTTTTATTTTAATCACAGAATATAAACCATATTCCTTTTGATGTATAATGGGTTTCTATTTTATCTCATCTTTATTTCTAACTCAAACCCACAACTGTTTGTGCTGTGCGCAATTGGCTGCCAACTTCACCCACAAAAATACACAATCATTTCACAATATATATTCTGTAAAGTGCTTTAAGACATCTCAATGACTTTGAGAAGGTACTATTCAAATGCGGGGATTATTCTTATATTATTTTATCATAGAATAGAAGCCATTGTGGCTATTTTTCTTTGTTTGAAACCCATTGCAAAGACAAAATTACACAGACAGTGTAGTACAGGAACAGACCATTTGGCCCAACTATTATGCTGTTAAGTCTCTGCACGAGCCATTGCACATATGGATACATGCACACAATTTCCCCATGGACTAAAAGGTTGCAGCGTGATGCAGATTTTCAGGACTATCCAGCAACTGATATACAATAAAAATTCACAATTCAGTGCCTTTCACGTCAGGAGGTTGTCCCAAGAGTTTGCACCCGAGTTGGGGGCAGGAGGAGGGAGCATGGCCGAAAGCATGGTCAAAGAGGCAGGCCTTGTAGGGGTTGAATGAAGTGACAAGTCAAAGGGACTTGGGATGAAGCTTCAGAGATTGGGGGCAGAACAGACTGAAAGCCCGACCGCCGATGGTAGGGCAGGTGGGAAATATTCAGCATTTTTCAAGAATCGTTCAATTTTTCCAATTGCTTCGTTCAACAACAATAACAAGCAACAACAAAATTACATTTATAGAGCGCTTTTCACGCCGGGAGGACGTCCCAAAGCGCTGAACATTCAGGTGTTGGGGCCCGAGAATGGGGGAGGGGTGGTGTAGAGTTGAGGGGAGGCAGAGAGGTGGGAGGGCGACCAAAGGCACGATCGAAGAGAACTTCAAGGTCAAGCACCAGTGGAAGTAATACTTTGCTGACTGGTCAATGCAGTGAACCCAATACACTTGAATCCGTAGTGGGTAGTAATATATTCAAATTCTCACTTCAAAATAAACTCATTTTATAATCTTCGTAGGATAACTAAACCAACATTATGTGAACATAAATGGGGAAATGGTGAGGGGAGGGAAGGGAGGGAGCGAGGAGGGGGTAGAGAGTCGACTTGGCCGAGACTAGAGTGGAGCGGTAGATTTTGAGGAGGTCCAGCGAGATTTGTCGGTGGACCGTGAGGCCAGATTTGAGGCAGGTGCGTTCAGCGGCCCGCACCAGGCTCTTCAGTGAGCATAGGTGGGTGGTGAACCAGGGAACATGTACTTTATTACATGTATTGTAAATAACTGTTTGTGCGACACTGCTGTGTGCAATTGGTTGCCACGTTTTGCCCACAAAATATACATTCAATCCACTTTACAGTGAAGTGCTGTGAGCTGTCTTGAAGATGTAATAAGGTGCTATATCAAATGCAAGGATTATCATTATTGTTAATATTTCAATGCAGCATTACCACATATGGCAACAGAAGAATAGATTTCAAAAATAAAACTTACTTATGCTACCTCCTGTAGGGTGAAAATTATTATTTTTGTCTGAAGGAATTTATTAACACTTAAACGAGAGCTAGAGAAAAAGTGGTGTGGATATAACCAATTATTGACATCATTTGTAAATAGACTGGAGAGGAGTGAAGCAGAATTTAAAGCAGGATTACAGCAAATAAGTATCAACAGCCAAGAAGCAATAATGCCAAACCAAAGGATAGCTTCTAACTCTGAGCCCGACAAGATGGTGAATTATCAACATTGCCTTGGACCAGCTGGACACTGCAAGATATGTCTCTCCAGCTCAACTCGACGAAGATACTATTATTAACACAAGGTCCGTAGATTTGCTTAACATTGAAAAGTATGGGACTTTTCTGCCAAAGTCAACTCTTTTCTCAATCCCAGCAGATCTCAATCTTTCAGAAAGCTCATTGAATAGGTAAAGCCACGCACATTTTAGTCAATGTTGAAATGTACCACAAGTCAGCAAGGATGCCCCAGACATTTCTGGCTTCCCTCTAGTTCAGTGGTGACTGAACTCTTTGGATGGCCAACAAATGTTTCTCGATTAAATATTTCTTGATTTACTTTTTGATTGCTTAGGTGCTGCATTGTAAGAGGTGCTGGCGTTCGGCTGAGATGTTAACCTGAGGTCCGGCCTACCTGATCAGGTGGACATTATAGATCCAACAGTACTATTTAACAAGGGAGTTTCTCCCCGGGATCCTGGTCAACAATTCCCCAAATAAAATTGGTAATTCAGTTCACAGCTGATTGTGGTTCATTGCTGCGTACAAAACAGGCCAGGACATTCACCTACAAAATACACAGTCACTCCACTTTACAGTATTTCCTGTGAAGCGTTTTGAGATATCCTCCTGATGTGAAGGGAACAATACCAAATGCCACAATTATTATCATAATATTTGCAGAATGATTTACGAACAACCTAAAAGAGAAGTGAACAGGGGAATTTCCCAATGCTTGTATACACAACACAAAAACTGCTTTGCCTGCTGGTCACAATTTTTAATTAAAAACAACAACAACAACAAGATTCCATTTATAGAGTGCCTTTCACGTCGGGAGGACGTCCCAAGGCGCTGTACAGTTGGGTCAGGACCCGAGCACGGGGGGAAATGGTCAGGGTGAGGGGAGGAAAGAGAGGGAGCGAGGAGTGGGGAAATGGTCAGGGTGAGGGGAGGGAAGGGAGGGAGCGAGGAGGGGGTAGACAGTCGAGAGGGGAGCTGAAGGTACAGTCAAAGAGAAAGGTCTTGAGACCGGCCTTGAAGGAGGAAAGGGAGGAGACGGCGAAGGCACTGGGGGTTAGAGTTCCAGAGCCTCGGGGCTGAGAGGCTGAAGGCCCGGCCACCGATGGTAGGGCGGTTGGGGCGGGGGGTGTGCAGCAGACCGGAGCCAGAGGAACGGAGGGTACGGGCAGGTAGGTAGGGGGATAGTAGGTCGGAGAGGTAGGAGGGAGTGAGGCCGTGAATGGCCTTGTAGGTGAGGATGAGGATCTTGAATTCGATCCTCTGGGGGATGGGGAGCCAGTGGAGGCGAGCGAGGGTGGGAGTGATGTGGTCCCGAAGCCTGGAGCGGGACAGTACACAAGCTGCAGAGTTCTGATAAAAACCTATACACACAACAATTACTATCCCTATAACAATAATGTTAATGATTCCTAAGATATTAACAACTATCCTTGAACTGCTTCTTTACAAGTGGATGCATATCATTAGGCTAATAGATTTCAACAATCTTTGCACCACACTTTCAATTACAGCACTAAGAATGAAACACTGCATAGTGTTGTGTAACATCACATTACTCGCGTATTGTGCTAACGTTAAGCTGGTGTTGCCAATTCATGGCAACACAAATTTTGTGTATTTCTGATTAAAAATTACTTCCTTCCCTTCCTGCATTACATCAACAGTTGCAGCATTTGATCAACTAAAAAGACCCATTCCCTTCCAAATAATAAAAAAATTCAGTAGTAAATGTTCACAGTGACAATATCAGAATTAACTTGCAAGATACATTGTGGTCTCTAGGAAACCACTTCTTAGGAAGATGATTATAGACCAAAGCGCATCTGGCAGGTAATTCACAATCATCATTTTTCTCTGCAATTTGACAACAAAGCACGTGTTCGACTGGTGTAAAGGAATGTATAGAGGAGCGTTTAAAGCTTCTAATCCCTTTAAAACCAACATGATCTCTCGCAGTGTCTTTTCCTCTCCCCCCGCCCCTACAATTGGGTGGATTCATTCTATCTGCTTGATCTCTCATAATCTTTTTGTTTTTTCAATGAAACATGCAACAGTCAGACCCACTGGCTTAAAAATAACTAGTAGGAGGCCAAGGATTGAGAGAGAGGAGACTTCAATTCGCAAGTACTATAAGTGTGCTGGGGTACAGCAGCTTTGAGAGATGATGTCATAAATTCCCAGCAGAAATGCTCAGAATATACATTCCTAATAATAGCTTTATCCTTGCTGGAACGGGATGAGCAGGAGGAAGAGAGACGCCAATGCATGTGGTGCGATGAGGCTGTGCAGGATCTGGTGATGTCAAAAGGAATATGATATATTTGGGAGATACCACTGACTGTGCCACATCGCACATCAGCACAATGACATTGCAAGACCAGCCTTTCCATGTCCTCCATCTTACAAAAAAGCCAAGGCCTCACTGCAGTGTCAGCCTCGATTATACGGTCACTATATGGTCCTATTGTGAGTCATGAGGTTGACACTCCAGTGAAGTAGTGGGGAAGCATTATTGAAAGTGGCGGTTCTGATGAGACGTTAAACCAAGGTCTCTTCTGTCTGGATATCAGTCGGCACTTATAAAGCCTTACTCCAGTCTGAGGAGAGTTCTGTGTCTTCAGAAGAGAGAAGGAAACTTGAGGAAAAATACAAAGGCACATCTCAAATCTATAGAGGAAGAAGATCTGTAGGGTAGTTTGATCCAAATAATGCACAACACTTTCTCTCACAAAGCACAACAGCAACAAATTACATTTA